GATCACGAAGACGTGCTGTGAGCTTGATAATAAATAACGAAAACCTCAGGCATCTGAGAAAAGAGCACTTGGGATTAAACATGAGACTATATCGTATAATGAGCAAATAGATATAATTTGTATAAGGCAATAGAACTCTGATATAAATAACTCAACATAATCTTTAAATAATAAAACTTAGAATATCTCAAACAACATCACATAATGAAGTATAGAATCTCGTTAAATTACAGATTAAAAGTCATGTGTAGCACAAAACATGAAATTGCATGCAAAACTATGAGATGTACAAATAAAGAAAGATATGATAAGATGAACATTTGCTTTTTCAGTAAAATACACAGAATTTTCTCAGTTCTAAACACGCAATATTTCTAACCGATTACCATAGCAGATCGAAATCCAATCAGGGTATGCAGTTGACCAGTGGATTTGATTCACCTACAATACAGTTTCTCATGAGACACATGATCGATTTCACTCACTTCTCCTCCAGCTTGATACGCTAGTATGGGGTCATCGACAGGTCGGGGCATTTCATGAACATCCCAAATAAGTGCTTGTGAATCATCAGCTGTAATATAAATTATTTATTGAGACCTTCAATAGCGTATTACCTCCAGTGCATAGGTGACTACTGGAATGAGGAGCCCAAGACACACCATTTATGGCAGCCTTATGATTCGATAATCTAGCAACAGGAGTACAGGGTACACGCATGTCGAGGATGAGAACCTAAGTAACTCATTGAGTTCAATCCAAATAATTTAATTATTTTTACCTCGTTACTACAACTCGCAAAAGTAGCCATGTAGTTATGATCATTTCGGTTCCATGCCAAACGTAATAACGAAGACTGTTTTGAAGATTCAAAAACGATGGTGGAATGTTCCAAATGCCTTAAATCAAACAATCGGACACTACCATCAGCTCCTAAATTGTATTTATGAGATTTTTAAACAACTTAGAATACCTACCCACACTTCCAAATATATCCTTACTACCACGACTAAATGCAATGTCAAAAACTTCTTTGTCATGAGCAATCAACTGCGTTCTAACAGATCCGTCTACGGGACCTCTCACACTGCCTAAAGCTTGCCCAGTCTAGAAATAAGTTAACTTATCAACTATTCATATAAAGTCGTTGAATACCTCAAGTTGCCAGATCGTACATGTTGTGTCAATGCTACTGGTTCCTATAAGATTCAAGTCCAACTCGTTCCAATCAAAGCTGGTTAAAGGAGCACAATATTCAGCAGTTCTGTTAGTATTGAGCAACGTTTCCACTTTAGCTTGGTTATCAGCTCCAATCTGAAGAAACATAATCAAATAAGATCGCCGAAACAGTGACGTTGCTTACTCTCCAAAGACGTAAATAGTCTCCTGACGTAGCAATCAGATCCGGATAATTCCCTTTAGAATCAGGAATCCACATAAGTTTAGTAGCTGGGTACGGATGGTCAAACGAGCTTCGTAGCACTAACTCTCCAGCATCTTCATCTAATTGAACTATTGATATCTAACCAAGAGTAAGTTAATTAAAAACTCGGTAGGACACATACCTTATTACTATATTCTTCAATAAAGCTACTGACAGCTATCCGAAATCGCCTCTGAGCATCGGTCGCACAGCTCCATGTTGAGGAAAACAACATGAAAGGAGCATCAAATCCATATATTTCCTGAACATTATTCGTTATAACTGATGAAAAACACTTAACAAAACCTTTTTCTTATCTTCATCCTTTAAAATAGATGAGGTTGAAGGGGTGGCACTAGAAAGCACTATTGGGTTCGAAGTAGATGCGGTTACATTCGTAGAAGGAGCGGAAAGCGTAGCACTTCCCCCAGTCGTAGTAGACACGGTTGTGAAGGAAGAGTTTGAAGAGGTGATCGGAGCTGATGTCACAACAGTTGACGTTGTTGGTACTGAAGAAGCCGCGGTGATAGAAGAGGTTGTTATAGATGAATTAGATTGACTAGAAGGAACATGTTTTGCCGAAGTAGCCGTGGTGACTCCTGTCGGCTTTGATTTAGAAGTAGCTGGTTTTTCCCTAATCGGTTTCTCTGACGGAACGGATTCCCCAGTCTAATATGAAGAAATTTAGGAAACGAAAAACGGAATGAATTGATTACCTTTGTAGTGGTTTCGCTCTCTTTGGTTGGTGTAGTAGATTTCGTAGATTGAAGAAGAGATGAACTAACTGGATGGTAGTTAGAAGGTCCTCCTTTACCTGTAATCAAGACGTATGAATGCGACTATTGAAGAAAGTAGTAGCTAGAAGAATAAATTAAAGTATGTTACCTGGTTGTACACCAGCAGGTGGGATAATATGCCCAAAATGCGATTGGGACGAAAGAGAAGGTGTTTTGTCCATACCTAAAGATAATGAATATAAATAATATTTACCAAACTGCAAACCTATTCCGTAGAAAAGAAAACAATGAAACAAACAACTCTCTTACGGCCACCACATACTTTCTCAAAGTTCTTTTCGAAGAAAGTGACTAAAAAGAGAAATGAAACAAAAAAAATAATAAATTTGCAACAGATACTGCGTGAGGTTCTGAACCTGCGTTGAAATAGAACAGATATGAAATAAATTATATATAAATATATACATAAAAAATTAATGAGGAATTGACAAGGTATGAACGGTAAGAAATCAACAACAAATACATACAAATTAGGAAGAATGTTTCAGAGATAATACATATTTTAAAACATGACAGTAACATGAACAAATATGTTCCATGGAAGTAAAACTCAAGTAGTTTGAAATACTCATTTTGGTAGGAATGCAAAAAAGTGATGCTTCGGCAACAAGAAACAAGAACAACAAATTCGATTGGACTAGAATGATTAAACTCGCAAAATTTCGAGAGACTTGTTAAAGCAGATAGATATCCAATTATTATGCGCAGCTCCCCAATGAACCTGGTTCACCTAGAAATATAATAAGAAACCAAACAACGAATTGAAACTCACTTCACCGCCTGCGGAATAAGCAAGAATTGGATCATCTATAGGACGAGGGATTCCTGATATATCCCATATTAATGCTTGTGAATCATCACCTGAAGCTTAAAAAATAGATGCCAATATACTAATCGAAAACACAATTAAAAAAAAGTAAAACATATAACTCTAAATATAAGCTCACGAACCGGCGGTACAAATATGATGTGCGCTGTGTGGAGCCCATGCTATTCCGTTGACCGCACCATTGTGATTTTTTAATTTTGATAAAGGATGACATGGCTGTCTGATATCGATAATAACAACCTAGAAAGAAAATAAATCATTTGTAAAATATGCTTGAACAACCTCTACAGAGTCTTGAGCGAACGTAGCCAGATAGCATGGTTCGTGTTTATTCCATGCTAATCTCATTAATGGATTTTTTGTAGGATCTTCATAAACTATTGTAGAATGCTCTAAGTGTCTGAGATCGAACATGCGAGCGCTTCCGTCAGCTCCTATTATGACATCAAAATAATGGAAAAACAAGATTGTACTAACCGACAGTTGCGAAATGATCTCTCCCATTATGAATCTTACTGAAACCTATATCATGCACAGGCTTATCGTGTGCAATAAGTTGCGTTTTCACATTATACGGCAACTTTGTACTTCCAATCGGTGCTCCAACCTATCGCAAACATTGAAAATAACGTTTTCTTAACCTTTATTACCTCAACGTCATAGATAGTACAAGTAGTATCGATACTAGAAGTTCCTATGAGACGAGGATCAACATCGTTCCAATCGAAACTAGTCAGAGGAGAAGAAAATTGAGCTGATTTATTCTGAAATAAACATCAATACATTTGAAGATTCGAATATTTTAACGTACACTAATTAAGTTTGCTTCTTCTTTAAAAATAGAATCAGAAGATATATTATATATTTTCAAACCATCGGTACTTAAAGCTATTAGATCAGGAAAATTATTTTCCTATAAAGAAGTGAATAAGAATTGTCAAATAGAAACAAACTTACTAAATCAGGAATAAATGCGATGGAGTTAGCTGCGAAATCTGTTTTAATAACTGCTTTTTCGACCAACTGTCCAGGGATTGAGGAGTCATCGAGATGAATCAGAGACACCTTCAAATTGAAGACATGTTGCGATGTTTCTTTAAGTAACTTACTTTGTTATTCCCGATGTCAACAACTGTTCCAACAGCCAACCGAAATTTATCACTCTTCTTCATGGACCATGCTGACGCGAAAAGTGGAAACTCTGACGTATACCTGAAGACAGCTTTAGAGATGACCTCAACAAAGATTGATACCTATAAATTTCACTTCGTCTCGGTTCTTGTCTATTTTGAGTAGTGGCTGCTTGTCTTGGGGTATTGTTATTTCCAGGAGCAGCTCCCGGGTTTTGAGGTTGATTAGCGGTTTGAAGAAGATTCCCGTTCGCTATTCCGTTGATCGGAAAATTACCATTGGCATTGGGTTGTTGAGCTGCAAATCATTTATAAATATTTAAATAGAAAAAAGCTCCAACCTCCAATAGGTAAAGCACCTAACTGAGCTGCAGCTTGGACAGCTTGCGCATTCGCCTACAACATAGTAAATGACAAAAAGCTCATAGAATTAGGAAACCTGAGCTATCATTGCCTGCATCTGTGCACCAACACTAGAAACTGCATTAACACCTTGGCTTGATTGACTATTAGACATAGGAGGATTTGCGGAAACGTCCGGCATTTCCAAAAAATACTTTGATAAAATAAGAATTAAGGTGAAAGCAGTAGATAGTTAGACGAAGAAATCCGGATAATCCTAAGAAAGTCGAATGAATAGAAGGATCGTGGTCAAGTTAATAGATTACAGAAGCATTATCAAGTTCTCTCCAATAGCTCAAACCTTAGAAAAAATTGAAGAACAAATTAAATATAGGTGGACTTAATCGATATTCAAATGTGTAAACTACACTTAACGAACGCCTTGGTCGTAATATGCGCCAGTAGTTAAGGCGCAAACTATGTGTATATCCCTGCATCCCTCTCAAATCAAATACAGTCAATGACAGAAAAATGACTGATGTTCTGGACTGATGGAGATATTTGAAACATTGATTGTTGAGAAAAAAAGTGAGGTTCTCAAAATATTTATTTGTTTCGCACTTCGTGCTTTAGAATTTGAAAAAAATAAGAAGATGATAATGTACAAAATGAAATACATGTCAAAAGCTAGCAATCACACGCGGTTCTCATGATACAAGTATTGGAGAGAAGTTAGTTTTGGACTGAGCCTTAGTCCTGGAGATCATGTTTGCTCATAACAAAAGCTTCGTTAGTCGATCCTACATTAGATGTTATTGTATCTGCGGGTTTTTCTCTCAAAGTTCCTGAAATAAATAAATATGAAAATTTATGAGAAACGATCATTCTAGAAATGAAAGAGTTGAAATTTCTTTCTGCACTTCCAGGAATGACGCAGACCAACCCATTTCTTCAGCGAATTTTCTTTGATCCCGCACAAATGTCATTGCAGCTATAGCGAACAGGAGTGCACTTAGAATGAGTATCACGTTTGGAATGTAAAAAGCTTTCAGCAACGAGTAAAAGTTGGCTTTAGGACTATTATCGGACCCTCTAATTGCGTCGGAAATCTTAAAATGTCAGTTATGATAGGAATTTGATACTTTATGTTACCAAGCCGATTATATAGGGACCTGATGCATCGCCGAGCAGATGCGACGTTAAAATCTGCCAGGAATTAGCAGTATTTCGTCTGTGAGGCACGACCACCATCTGAAAAATGACAGCTATCAGAGTATAAATTACTGACAAACCATTTGCATATCAACATTGGTTGCCCAGTTGAAACAGAGGGCTGTTATACAGATGAACATCATTATCTAGAACGTAAGAGTTGCTTAATCTGGGGAAAGTAAAAACTCACCCAGGTTACCACCATCTCTGTTGGAATCAGATGTACTCCAACGAAAAAGGTTGGGATTCCTATAACAGCGCCCACTCCGCAAATGATGGCATCAGATCGTGGGGTTTGTATGTATCGGAATGGACCAGTACCGTTACGGATAAACTGAGACATAATTATAACTCATACTTCAACTTTGCCGGGACATACCGATGATATTAATGTTCCAAGGAAAACTCCTGCGATCCCTCCAACACAAGTGATTGCACCAAAGATCATATTCACTCTTTAACAAATGATAAACTGTTTCTTATATCCTGTATCTTACTGGGCTTTCGTACTGTCACTCAAATAATCCGTACTGTTCAAGCTTTCTTTCCAAGCATCTTTGTGCAATACAGCCGTGGGCACCCACCAAGACATCGTACCAACTACGAAAATAATTGCGGTGTAACCAAGAGTTGATGTGATATAAGTTGCGCTGGAATCATTAAGAGTTAACTCGATCTATCTGTTTTTTTTCAAAGAAGCAACCGCCAAGTGTTTCAGTTGATCTCAAAATGATCAAACATGATATGTTCACGCGTGATGTATTGAACCCAGGGTATTTTATGCTAATTCAATCAATGGATTCCTTACTTCGTTAGTAACGATTTAATATCTTCGAGGTAGCTGGTAGGCTCAACAGCTGCTGCAATCTCTCCGCTTTCGCGCTCCGCTTTTCCTCTTTCAGGTTCATAAACAAATATAATTGTTGCAAGTACACTGATCGCTCCTTCAAATTACTAATAAACAAAAAGATTAACAATTAAAATACCCAAAATGGCTGTTATGCGTACTCCCCATTTCCAAGAGCCAAAAAGTGCAGCAACTTCAGACCCCACAATGAACCCGCAGCCACTAAACGTTCGATAAGTTCATTTGGGTTATGAAATATTTTGCTTACCATCCGACAGGGATTGCGAAGTAGAACAACATGAGCATATTACTCCTTCGAGAACCTGTGAACATATCAGCAATGATAGTGGGCGATATAGTTGCGTAGGAAGCCTCTCCAATCCCCACAATACCACGGAATAATAAAAAGAGCCAAAAGTGCTGAAAATGTTTTTTTTTCATGAGTATACGCAGCATAACAAAAACCTCTGAAGAGACGAAAGTTGAAGCAAGTACAGCTAGAATCCAGATAATTAATCCGACAACCATTATCCATTTTCGATTATATCTACACATGTAACGAGTGAAGGCACTTTTAAGCATAAGCGAACAAACCTGTCACCTAAATATCCACAAACTGGAGAGAAAATCATGAAAAAAACAATGAAAACTGTCTGTAATAATCCTCCTTGGGCATCATTAATTTTATAATATTTTTGAATATCAGTTAGAACACCTAAGAGGAAACTCATGTACTCAAGGGAAGTGTTTGTAGAGCTTGCAAACCTGCAATAGTGAAACGATCCATATAATTTAGTAAGTTAACAAAGAATAACACAACGATTGAAACGTATGTTCTGTAGTTGGATTGTGTTGGTGGTTGAGATGTACTTCTATCATTTTCTGAAGCATTAACGTCGTAACTGTTTCTACCATGAGGTTCTTCCATGTCTGGTTTCTGAAAACAACGGGCCAAGTAGACTCATACAGGCATGAAATGGCATACGAACAAGACTAGTAAGAAAAACGAACACTTTACTCAAAATGCTCAACAATTACGAGAGCATTTTCAGATATATAACGTAAAAAACAAACAAATCACTTGATGTTCTTGAGAAATCATCACTTAATTCAACAAATATTAATCGTAGGTGGAAAAGGAAGGATAAGATATCGATAGACTGTCTGAATCTCAGACATACATGGAAATGAGTATGCATGAGATGAAACGACATAGAGAATCAGAGAGGAAAAGACGTGAAAGGAAAGAACGAGTTTCGACGACGACGACAGATCGTCACAAAACATTTCATGAAATTCTTTATAACACAGGAAAATACAATAAAATATGAGATTTCAATGAGTACGCTTTCATAACTTCACGCTCAAGTAAATCTAGAAAGCCCAATTTTCAAACAGAAAGGACACGTAGTAGGAATGGTTTTGAACGATTAGAAGGAAGAGTGGTCCAAGGTCGAAAATTCAGAATTTTAGATCATTTGCTCTGATTCATAGTAAATAAAGACACGGAGAGATCTCTAAAGATGATAGTGAGCTAGTATTCGGAAAGAAAATAATCAAATAAATTCTGAACAATCATTTCATAACGCAAGCCTTGTCAGAGCACAATGAACTTTTTTATTTTGAAAAAAATGTTTTTTCGATTAGTGTGAAGTTTATTCATACATTTTTTAGAGTAACCGTCATAGATAAAAGGAAAACAGGAACATGTACAGATATTTCAGTTAGAAGGACATCAACCAAACCGAAATCGAGTCACCATACTACAAAAATTGATTCAAAAACTTCACGGTCCGCACATTTCCGAGAATTAGTAAGGTTCTGTATGCTGAAGAGATTCTACTACTCTTTTATTTTCGTTTAGCCCAATTTTACTTGGGGCAAACATATGTAAGATGCAGAGAGCTCTAAGCCTGTATCCCTTCATTATCCTTCTATATTAGGTCAGCCGGCAGGTGAGTAGTAGTTGTCTACGAATTGTTTACGATATGACGCTATGATGTCCTTGAGTCAAGCGAAAACATAGATACAATCCAAAATGAAGAAAGAGCTAATAACATTAGAAGTCACTTCATAGACCACTATTAACGCAAAAAGTTAGCGATGAGAAGAAAGGAGGGAAGCGTAACATTATCTTCAAGCTTCGATGTCAATAGCAGGTAAGGTATTAGATATGCTTATACTTTATCAATATACTTAATCAAGATTCTACGCGAGTGATTCGAAAATGAAATTTGGGTACAAGTTTAAGGTGACCTATAATTAAACTATAAAGAAACTTGTGCGTACTGTTCGCTAGCCGAGAAGCTTTAACTGCGATTACAACTCATCATATCAAAAAAAGCCGATTACAAACAGTTACATAGATAAATCATGAAAAAGTTAGAAATATATAAGAATGGTTAGCAACTGATCATTTTGTACTCCTCATCAGAAATACAAACCAGAAAAAATAGAATGTTATTGAAAACTGCAACTACAAACAAACGCACTCTTCGCAGAGTTAGCTACTGTTGAAGAGCAACGAAAATGAACTGATTGCAAGTATTATGATTTGTTAAACATGAAGATTAGAGGATTATCTGGTCGTCCTTGCTGTCATAGAGGTGCTAATCATCGATGAATTCCTTTTTTTTCCTCGACAGTGGCCAGATTCTTTTCAAATTATGCGAGAGATAACGAGCGGAAACAACTCTGATTTACTGGCACCTTGCTAGATTACATGGCTGATAAAACCATAGAAAGGGCAATAATGTGAAAGTGAGCATTTCTCTTGAGATTATAAAGATGTTGAACTAATGAGAGACTTAGAAAAGTTTTCCACTTCCCCTCTAAAAGACCGCCCTCTCCTATCAGTCTGAGAAAACAATGAAAAAAAAAATTTTTTTTCAAAATTTGAAACAATGAAAACAAAAAACAATAACAATAAATATTGAATACCTACAGATCTACGTTCACTAATGGAATTTGATTTTCTAAGGAAGGTGTACACGACCAGCGGAGATTTTCTTGGGATCCCGGGCTTCCATTTCTTTCAAAGACCCCTAAATTGATAATATGAGAACAAAGAGAACCACAACTATCTCGCACATTATAAACACGTGGCTTTGGTCCAGAAAAAGTGTCTTCTATGGCATAGGATAAAAGAGAAGCTTGCATACCGGTGTTACAATTGATAATTACAGGCTGTCCTTCAATCAAGCCATTGCTAAGACCCCCTGAAATTCCGGCCTCAAAACGGCAACATTATATCAATCTTACACTTCTTTATCTCAGAATCGCTCTTCATCAGGCCATCTTTAGTTAACAACTCTACTGATGGAGTATTCTTGAATCCGGGAATGTGTGAGCCACTCACTTCTGAAAAGAGAGGATTGTGTCGTACCAGAAATGATAGAGTTTTACAACTCACTATAATTATCTAATCCGGTATCTTCTAGACCTTCAAACTGTGCACGACCTCTCGAATCTAAGAAGTTATTCTGAATCAAAAATATAAAACATATCGATGAATAGCGTGAGTTACCTCATCTGTTTTCTCAATGAATGCTTTTTCATTACCATCTTTTTCTTCGAGTTCTTCAAACTTGATGACATGCTCTTTGATTTTGTCTTTAGCTTCCCAATCACCAGCCTTCAAAAAACATAATAGGCAATTGAACACAAGAATAAAATACTTTTAATTTGACATCGTCAGTTGCAACCTCGAAACCGTTATTTTGCCATTGCCCAAATCCTCCATCAATGAGTGAAATCTTCTCATGTCCATAAGACTGGAAAATTTCACGATTAATTTACATACTTAACTTAAAAACCTTAAGCAGCCATGCTAAACGAGCAGGGAACATCATTCCTCCTAACGCTCCTCTTCCGTATAAAATTAAATGTTCGTCCCGATTGATTCCTAAGAGCTTCACTCCATTTTTGAAGATATCTCAGTTCTGTAGTCGATACCTGCATATACTCTTGGAAGACTTCAGGAGGGTAGATGCTGAATCTTTCGTATTTGGAAGGATACATAGCAGCATCCAAGCTCATATGTACGGCATTTGGAATATGTCCAGAGAGATATAATTTTTTCGAACTAAAAATAGAGCATGAGAGATAACTTTCATTAAGAAAACAAACTAACGGTGTTTTAAGACTATTGAGAACTTCGAACTTCCCATATAACTCCTTTTCGAATTGCTTCCAATCCAACTTTTGAGAAACATTATAGGAGCAATCGAGAAGCCGAACCCCTTCTCTAGAAAAAACATCATTAGTATACACAAATATTTGAACTTACTTATTTATAATTCCTTTTTTAAGAAGGTTGTTGACTGTAGAGACATTGACAAACCTTGTTAGGGACATACCTACAATTGGAATTCATGATAAAACGTAACATAAATGCACCGAAATTCTAAGAATAAAAAAAGAAGAAACTTTCTCGGTTTTTTTGTTTCAAGCAGAAAGTAAGTTGCTAAGCTAGAACACTATTAACAATAGAGCATGGGAACAACCGATCACTGCGTGTCTTTGCTGAAAAATGAATTTCTCGATCAGCTTTTTGATTTTAGGATAATAAGTTGATTCAAGAAATTATTTGAATGTTTATTACTTGAGAATAACAATTATTTTAAATATTTAATGCTTATTCTTGGAAGTCGTTCAGCTTCTTCTTCATGTAGTCCGTATTGTGAATCCTCTTGCATTCGTCACCCATTTTTTCAAATGCCAAGGGATGAATAGAGTTTGCGATTGTATGAATTTGGCCAATATTCAGTTTCTGAAATAACAAAACTTGTTGTCTTATTTTTAAATCCGTAGTTTTCCAATTCTGTAAAGTTTTTGAACGACTGACCAACAGAGCGTCCTTGGCATCAGGGCAGTCTTCTACGAACTCTTGATAGAAACAAATCGTTGAGCATTCGATAGCTCTGGAAATATAGAAAATCTATGGCCATTCTCATATTTCTCTGCTCACTTGCAGTTTTCCACTTGCTTATCAGTTTCACCATCTATCTTCTCCTTCGCGTACTTGTTTCCATGACATTTATCGTGACACACTGCAAAGAATCATTATGATCTCCTTAGTCCACAATTTTTATTTGTCGGTTCTCACGTATACTTACCCGCATCTATTTCCTTAGCTGCTTCGCTCAAGCAAGGTAGATGGGGCTCCAGGTCTTAAATTCTCTGTTACGCAGTTGTAGAAGTTGTATGAATACCTTCTTGATAATCGATACAAATTATTCTGTAGAAGGTGGAATACTGATGAAATTTCCTCTGATCTTCTGTTTCACACTTACGGGCACAATAGGCCCCATCCTCCAGCAAGTCACAAACCTATATTGAATCGTTTCAAAGTAACTTATAATATCTACTCACATGATCATAATTTTTGAATATGTGGCTGAAACTTCTCTCCTGCTTCGCTAACGGTAATATACATTTCTTCAAACACTCGCTGATTTCTTCGTCAGCTAAAGAAATGGTTATTTTTTACTGTCTTTAGAACGTACCTGCAACTAAGATCAAAATCGTACTCAAAACGAAGGGGATACGCATCTAGGATGGAGTACAAATAGGAGAATGAATTGAAGGTCGTTCACGGAACATTGTGATTGTGATGAAAATGGTCTAATTCGGCAACTTCTCAGAAAGAGACAAATGAACAAATTGGTAATGAAGAAAATGGAACGGGCATAAACACAATTTTTTTGGATCAACACATATTTTTCCTGAAAAAACATTAGCAGCGAGTGGTTTCGATCCACCGACCTCTGGGTTATGGGCCCAGCACGCTTCCACTGCGCCACGCTGCTGCGTTTTCAAAAAACTAAATTCTAACCATGAATACCTCCCCACATTTGAAGATTAATTCCTGTATTCGTCCCAGAATGTAAGGTTCAGCTGATAGAAAGATTGAGAGGTTATTACAAGAATCTCTCAGTCCAACCAGCAAAAATTTTTTGTTGATAAAATTGCTTCATATACATTGTTAACTCCCAAAAAGGAATATAGCATAACAAACAACTGAACGTAGGAGATATCGAGGTTGCGAACTGAATGTTCTGTGCCTGGGAAAGAGCATTATGTTAGTGATCTCCTTCTGAATGCTTTTAATGGTGTTGTTTTTTCCGTAACACAAATAATTGGAGTGATTATATACGGAGAGACAAAAATGTTTCACACACTTCATCTTTTGATCATTCGATCAGACTCTATTCCTACAATTCAAATGACTGTATGAACGGAATAGTTCCCGACTTGAACAACCGCTCACTGTGCGTTGTGTTGCAGAATGAACGTTCATGAGTACACCACACACAGTTATGTTTTTTCCCGTAACACATATGAATGCTTCGAGGCTAGAAACAATGATGAGCAACAGAAAAAAAATTTCTTTTCCAGCTGTTTTATTGGAAGCCATCCAGTCGAGAGCAGGATTAAAGACTTCTTTATCAAGTAGTAATGTCA